AGGGAAAGACAGACCAATTGTTTTGGGAAGTTGGTTTAAAACAAGCAGCTGTTAAACATTCAAGCCTTGACCAAAAGCTCAAAAATTACAAGATTTTTGGGAAAGGAAAAAAGGGGGTTTATAACAAGAATCAGAGGACCAATGTTTTTGCCAGGGGGAGAGAGAGAGAGAAGAAATGCCAGACCTTAGCAAAGCGATTTGACTGAAGGGGCACAAGGAGAAAACAAGTGGGGCATGTAGGCCCTAGAAGCACGGCCAGTTTTCTAAGACAGGAAACTGGAGTGAGAATGTAAGGAGGCATCTCATATACATAATTCAGCATACATATTTAAAAATGTTCACATGTGGTGGTTTTTTCATTGAGAAGACATACGGCAATTGATGGAGGTCTTTAAATCCAACAATTCCAACAGCTTGAGGGTTATCATGGAGATTAGGGCCAAGATGCATTCTCAACCAGACTGAGCCTCGTCAAAGACAGAATAAAGTAAGGGACCGTGGCCTATGACGCAATGGGGGACTGCATATCATGGCAGAAGAGGATCCACTCTCTAAAGAGACTGGAGGCAAGTAACAGCTGTAATAGTAAAAATAAATCATTTGTATCTGCTGTCTAATTAACATTGACTTTGTAGTTACCATAGGAAAAAGATGATTAGTCCCATCTCATTCTTTAAAAGGCAAAAGAAATGGCTGTTCAGAAGAAGATACAGCTGATATTGCAGACAAATACTTTTCAGGTGTGTTTTCTGAAAGACACAACCAAGACGATAGCTTGTCACAATCTGATTTCACAGAATTTTGCTTTAGTACTGACTTAACCAATTTGACAAGACATCCAATCAAGACAAGACTACCTGTTGTGTGTAGATTGAAAGACCAACTCATTTGTGGCTTGCAGAAATATATAATCACATTACAAAACAGTTGGTAGAAAATCCGATGCTGAAGACACACTGCAAAAATCTGAACTCATCCTGGGCTCCCTATTAATTTAGCTGTTCATGCTGCAGACTGCAATTTCAAGCAGGGACAATATTAAAGAACTTTTGTTTTGGTTTCCACCCTGCAGATCTTTCCCCTGGTTACCTTTTGCCACCCAAGTTCTATGAATTACCTACAACTATAACATTACCTACAATATTGCGGTTGTATATATATGAAACTCTCCATCAAATACATCAAATGCTATAGTTATGTGTATAGATTTTAAATACAGTATTTAGATATGGTATATATTTATACTTCTTTCCTTAGTGTATGTACATCTAATAGTGGGAAGTGATGCATTTAAGAATTCTGTCAGTGGAGTCTGGCAACTGGAAATAAGGAGGAGGTGAGAGCTATGCATTGACCATCAGCAAACTTTTCACTGTGTTCAGCCTGGGAACCTTTGTTCCAAAGTCACAAGCCCTTCAATTTAAGCTGATACAGTTCCTTCGCAGAGCTAGGTTAATTATCTGCACCTATGCTTTTGATACAAGGTTTTATTTCTTATCATATGTGCAACACTTTTATATTAACTGACTCAAATGATGTTTCTTTAGCAGTGGTTTATTCACATGCTAACTTGCAAGTGTATATTTAAAAATGGACCAGAGAACATAATGACACAAGAGCTAGCACTGTGCAGTGGTAAAAATATGAAAATGAGAGGTCACTGCATACATTGTCAGGTTTGCAAGCTAACCTGCTGAAAGCCACCTAACAGTTATTAAAGCATCTACTGGCAAAGCCAGGAGTGTAATACTTACATGTGTCACAGGGGACTTCTGAAGAGTATTTGTAACAAATATTTGTTACTCTCTTAAACAGAAAATGTTTTAAACACGTTGCAATTATTTTGTTTCCAAAACCCAAAGATATAGCTGAAATAGCATAGTAACCTAATCACTACATAAATTCCACAGTCAATAATGGAAAGCAGTGCCAGACCCTTTTATCACCCGTGTGTGTCCAAAACCTGTTAAATAAGAAGTATGTAAATGAATGATAAACAGATAACCCAAATTAAAGTAAGGCCAGAGCAAGTAATATCTCATCCATCTTCCGAGCTATTTCAGTATGGAACACGCCGTGTTATTGTTACCCAAAGTGTGGCTAAAACCAAGGCTCAACCTCTTACTATTTCCAGAACAAATGGAAATAAAAAATATGTGAGTATTAAAACCAAAATATTAAGTATATATAAATAGAATAAATATATTTAAAACATACAAGAATGTAATGGGAAAAAAATATTAACTGCTTGGCTATGGTCAAAAGAGCTAAATCATTTTGTTGTAGTATGACAGAAAGGCTGTAACCCTTCCACAGTTAATATTGTTTTATCAGAAATTTGTCATGGTGTTGGTTTTGTTTTTTTTTAAATCTGCATACTAACTTTCTTGATTTGATTTGCCAGTCCTTAAAAAATATCCTATTTTGGCTTTTGGCTTTTTTTTTTTTATTTAATTGAAGTTCAAAAGTAGCCCTATGGGGAAACTCAAAATGCATTTAAAGAAATTTAAAATCTGATTTGTTGGATACAGCTGAAGAAAATGTGTTTTAATCCCTTGTTTAAATTTTTTAAAACATGTTTTAACAAAATGATTCAAAATGTATTAGAAACATTTTACAGTAGGTAAACATTTTGATAATTTTACAAGCCAGTTTTTATCAAATGAGATGAGGTGGCTACAAATGAAAATATGAAAGACTTATGTTGGGTCCATATACACTTACCAGCTTTGTGTTTCATAATTAGTATTACAGGGCCTTAAAAAGCTGATTTGAGAGGGAGTTCCAGTCCAAATGCATTGTCAAATTTATGCTGTAGAACAAAGTGTTCAAGGTGAGGAAAATAATACATTACAGTACCTAATGAATAATGGCCTAGGGTTATCATTAGTTTGTCGTTTGTTTCCTTTTTTTTTAAATAATTGTTCACTGTGATGACAATGGAACCCTCTGCTCTTAATGATTAATGAAGTTGTCTTGATCTTTGGTTTTCTTAAGTATGTTAAGTAACTTTTATTGTAATTAAATAATCATCACTAATTTAAAATAAAAGCCTAGTTTTTAGAAGTAATAGAGAACTTGTACCAATTATAAAATACATAAAAAAATATACTACATGCATACTCTAAAGGGTATTACATTTGTTCATAGAGAAAGAATTTCTCAGCGTCCAGTAGATCATCTAACACATTCCTTTCAGCAATTCAGGGCCATTTTCTACTTGAATTTCTTAATTATTTCATCCAAACTACTATTCAACAACACAAGGAATGTTAGCTCACTTACGTGCTTTGACAAATTATTTTCCTGCCTTGAACACACATTGTTGTAATTTAAAAATTTCTTTTGGCTAGTGTCAGTTTTTCATTTCTTACTCTGTTTAATCATTAACCAATTCCTCTCTGTCTTCATTATGTCTCTGATACTTACTCTTGTTTTATGGAAGCTTGAACTTTGGACAAGGGAGCAGTTCATATTTAAATACATACATATATTTATCTGCAGCTTGTGTCCTGATAACCTGCAACTTTAGTTTAAGGATTAAAGCCTTTGTAAGTGAATATATTTTATTCCAAAATGCAATTGAGAGTTATGATATACACAATAATCTGTTTGGAAAGGAATGCTGCTTTCTTATAATGAAGTTAAAATGCAGCACTTCAAGAGTGGTTACCACTGAGTAAAATCTAAGCCACAGTAGTACTGTTTTCTCCTTAAGGAAGCAAACAACAAAACTTTTCTTTAACAAGGCAGAAACAGTTGCTGATTTTGCTGGTTTGGCTGTCACAAAAACTATAAGTCAAAAGAAAATATTCTTAGCTATTTACAATATTTAAGTTACATGTGAATGAAAGTACTGCAAGCTAAAATTTCCCTATATACCATACATCTAAATTTCTTTATTAAGATTTGCTTATAAATTGTTCGGCGAATCCTTGAGATGTGATATTTGTAACTAAGACAGTTTCATTCCTGTGCAAGTTGGTTTTATCTGCAAAAGTCCACTAGTTTTTATTGCTTATTTTGAACTGTATTTTTATTAGAGAATTTTGTTAGAGAAGTTAGATCCTGAACCTACAAGTCCTTGGCCACTTCTTGTTTATGTGTGCATATGCTTTCAATAGTGTTCTTCAGTCTAAAACAGCTCTTTCCTTCATTGGGATCACTCTTTGATAAGTAAGTAGACAGCAGTCTTCTCTCAGCCTCCATTTTGCTTGACTATTGTATTAGGTCTGGTCAGAATGCAGTTAATTTTCTTTATAGTAGCTGGTATGGTGCTATGTTTTAGATTTTTGACCAAAACGGTGTTGATAACTCACTAACGTTTTAGCTATTGCTGGACAGTGCTTGCAAGGCCTTCGCTTTTTCTCACTCTGCTCTCCCCTACCTCCCCCAGCAAATAGGCTGGAGGTGCAGAAGAGGTTGGGAGACGACATGGCCAGGACAGCTGACCCAAACTGAGCAAAGAGATACATCATACTGTATCACATCATACTCTGCATTAAAAGGAGGAGGGGAGGATTTTTTTCAAAGGTAACCGTTGCTCGGAGACTGGCTGGGCATTGGTCTGCTGGTGGGAGGTGGTGAGTGTTGCTTTTGCATTACTTGGGGTTTGGGTTTTCATTGGTTTTTTTGTTTGTTTTTTTTTTCTTTATTGATTAAACTGTCTTTATCTCAATCCCTGAGTTTTTCTCCCTTTTACCCTTCCAGTACTCTCTGCTGCCTGGCTGGGGCAGGGACTGAGCAAGCAACTGGGTGGCAGCTTAGCTGCCAGCCAGGGTCAACCCACTACAATTATACAATGCAATCTCTTGAAGACATTTGCCTCCATTTCCATGACCTTCCTAGCAGTCCTCATCTGCCTCATTTTTCTTGAAAACAAGTGACCAGAAGCTTACAACATACTGAGATCTCACGAAGGATTTAGAAACTGGTGCTAATATTTTCACCTTTCATGGAAAATAGGGAAATGGCTAGTGCCAGTGTTTTCTTCATGACTGTATCACACTGGTGGCTCATCCTTCAGTAATACGTTCCCCTGCCATAATTTTATGCCCATTTCTTTCATAATCCCGAAATGTCTGAAGAATCTTTCACTATTTGCAAAAAACCATCCCCACCAAAAAAAAAAACCCAAAAAAACAAAACCAAACCAACCAAAAAACCAAAGTCTAATCTGCTTATTTTTTGGTTACTCTCAATTTATCCCTAACTTCTTGACCTCTAGCACACAGCTTTTTTCTTGATCAGTCCTTTCTCCTTTTGCCTCTGGGCTTTCTGGCTAGTCTCGGCAATGCTGATAGGCATCACTAGTCCTTCCATTCCTTACTCCTGTAAGCAAATCACCCTCCTCAGACTGCTCTCTCTTGTAACACCCTGTATTCCATTTTTGTTCATCCTTGGCTTCTTGGTTTCCCTCTCTTTTTTTGTGTGTAGGATGTGTTGCTCTTCCCTTATTTGTTGCCATGTAATGTTTTGCTTCTGACCATTTCTCACCTTCATTCTCTAGTGCAATATACCTCTTCTTGCACGTTATTTATCCTATTTTAGTCATCTCTGCTCTGCCCTGTTCTACGGATGTGTGTCCTGAAGTCTTTCTCTTTTACTTCTTGTGCAAGAGAGAGCTGTAAATATTCTCTTATCTGTTACTGCTGTGAATTTCCCTCTAAAATTGTACCATCACCTCCAGCTCTTTCTAGTCCTTGGACGTTTTATTGAGCAAGAAGCCAGGCACAAAGGTGGGGGTTTT